AATGCCAAGTTGGTCGAATATATAAATCGTGAATTCCTTATTCCTTGGACAAGAATTGCAAAATTTCACATCAGAGCGGACACGACGCGCATTTGTCAGCTGAAATACAACAGGAAAAAGACGCTTTGAATTCGCTGAAGCGTCATCACCATACCTTCTTGTTTGCTGGTGCACAGTGACACCATGAGTCTTTCCTGAGTTATAGACCACAGGGTACTTTTGGGATTACAATATATAAAAATAAGGTAAAATAGAATCTAACTTATGTTTTGGCAAATTAGGACGTCAATAATATATCACCAAAAATAGAGGGGGGTTGAAAGCATAATTAGTGTCATTTATTTATTTTTTTAAACAACACAGAACCAAGAAACTTCTTTGTTCTTAATTTTGAACACATCCACGCATCTTTCCATGAATGTATCATATACTTGTTATATACATAACTATTCAAGATACAAACCATCTTTTTGGAAATATTATCTTATCTATTATTGTTCTCCATCTTCATATTCCCTAACATCGTTTAACATTTTTAAAACTGCAAACTAAAAACAATCCACTTTGAAATACATTGTATCAATAATAAGCAACATTTTAAACCGTGTGGAACTTTCTCCACTTTTGTGGCAGAAGATGACTGCAAACAACATTATTTATATTAAAATGTAATAGCTCTGGGTAATGCTTTAAAAAAAAAATAATAATTAACAAACCGAAAGTGGAGTAAGCATCGAAATGGGGCAACCAAGCTTCAAGATTTAAGTGAATGATGCACCTGCATGTAAAAATCTATGTTTGAATGTAAATTCTGTTCAACAAACATACTGTACTTTCAGAATTGTAAGACAGTATGCAAAGTTAAAATAAAAAAACACGGAAAGATTGAAGTACAAAAAGGATGTTAAAGTACAGACCTAAGACTCCATTTTAAAACGTATCACTATTCCATGGAATTGCTGCCACATCCATATCATGTTTCCATTTTAACACTTTGAGCATGCTCATTTGTATTGAGGGATTAAAAGTGTTCAAAATCTGCTAAATTTTCATCAATATTTTATATTAGTGAGGAATCAAGGATGGGACTGAGAAACAACGATGAAATAATATTTATGAAAGAATCATTTCAAGATGATAATGCCATGCAAAAGTGATTCTACGGTGAATTATTGTAGTTCAATTACACAAACAAAAAAATGTATCACTAAAAATAAAACTAAATATCTTAATGTGGCGGAAGTTTCATACTAAATAAATTAAACTGTGTGTAAAGTGAATCTAAAGAAATGTATAACTTAATGCATTTACAAAAAAAAACGTTTACATAAGAAGTATTCATAGTCTCACTCATTAGGCAAAGGTAAACAAATTTAAGACTATCCTGCTCTCATGCCATGATGGTAACAGGCAGACTTAATATGACGGTACACATATGGAACTGGAGTAGATAAAGTGGAAATCAGTGCCTGTGAATTAGAAGTGCTGTTCTCTGCCGTTAACGAAAGTGCTTTTGAACTTCCTGATCTATGAAAATGTAGCATGACATGTGAAATGACATCCATAACAAACTCATTATTCAACAGGACAAAAGAAAACAAAAATACGCTCAGGATTTCAATATTTTAGCTAAACAGCACAAAAAGTAGATGAAATGAAAACTATATTTCAGGTGAAGAGAACGAACAGGTGGTTATAAACTCATATAAGAAATAAATACTGGAAACTTATGATGTGAATTTGGGCATAATGAAAGAAAATTTCAAAATATGGCCTCAGAATGATTTGAGTTTATCAAAAATGTCTCAAAAATATGTCTTGCTTCAAAATAAGAGATGAACACTAAGATATCAAAGACAAAAAGAAATAAACCACAATGCTGTTTTATGTTTAAAATATAAAAAAACTGTTGCCTACCTCAGACAAAATATCCCCATCTCCAAATGCATCATCAAAGTCTGTTGGGCTCTTCTTCAGAGTCTGGTCAGCTGGCAGCGTGTTGTCATTGTAAGATGA